AGAAAGGACTGTCCTTGCCAAGGATTGCATATGTGTGGTGTGGAGAACACTGAGAAGATAAAGAACCACAAAGAGAGCAGGAGCCTTGCTTCCCCAAACAAAAGTAGGACCCAAAGTATTTCCCTATCATCTGCAGCTAAGACAGAATCCAGATCAGGAGTTTGCAGAATGAAATATGAGCCCTTGGAAAACCTTTCTGAGCGTTATGGGCCAGTAGAATGGGCTTCAGAGCCATGTCTGTCCACAGCTCCCGTGGTAGAACTTCCACTTAAAATCTGCCTGTCCTGCAAAGCTGGAGTTCTTCAGCCTCTGTGTGGTCACTTCAAACACTAGGAAGTTTGTTCCCTTCAGTAGCAGCCATTCATGGAATTTGGGTACTTAGGAAATAAACTCCCTGTCCATCATACGAAGCAAAAACCTTTCCCACTAAAGTCCTGTATCATTTCTAGTTCTGGAGACCCCTTTGGAGACCCCATTAATAAACACAGCATAGACACAGGAAGACAATTACCTCTTCTTTCACAGACCTTCTGCACTGCTGCATCCCACTCCCCACTGGGCCTTCTTGTCTCTTGCAGGGCTTGCTCAAGTTGCATGGTTATAGTTCAGAGGAATTCTACATACACTCACTGCATGCCTATTGTGTGCAGCTAGGCATGGCTCTCCATGTTTGTGGGGCATACAATGTGGCTTGGTCACATCTGTGTCCTCTGTGGGTCTTTAGATTCACTACATGAAATATCATGGATTTAGAGCTAGAAGTGAATGTGTCAGTTAGCAATTGCTGTGTAACAAACCACCCCTGGACTTCAAGACTGAAAACGAGCAATGCTTACTGTTCACTAGTGCATGGATTAGCTGTGTGTGGTTCTGCTGACTTGGATCATAACCAGCCAACCACCACAGGAGTTACTCATTGTGCCTATGGTCAACCAGCTGAGGGCTAGCTGCTGGCAAACTGTTAGCTGAAGTGACAAGGTGACCGAGGCTCCAGGCAGCAGGATTCCAGGAG